TATTCCCGTCCCCTCCCTCCGAGTCCTTCTGAATCCGGGCGGGGAGGGGCGTGCGGAGGGACGGACCTTGCCACGGGGCCAGCGGCCGGCCCCGCTCCTTCCACGCTGTCTCCACCCAGCCTTGGGCTGGAGGCGGCCTCGGGGTCCCCCGAGCCCCTCGCGCTCTCAGCCCTGAACTTTCCCCACCCCCACACAGCTCACGGGGAAAGGGGCCCGGGTCGTGCGTGGGGAGGGGCTGCAGGCCGGGGCAGAGAGCAGGAGTGGGGCGTGAGAGCGGGAGAAACGGGGAGAAGAGCGCGGGGACTGCCCCCCAGCCCCTCTGGGCGCTCTCTGCCAAAGCGCTGTCCCGATGTTCGGGAGTGGTGTCAGCCCCCCCGAAAGACCCAGTTCCTGGAGGGCAGGAACCCCAGTGCTCGCCGCAGAGTGACACATAGTAGGTGCTTAATAAATGATTAAATGAGTGGGCATAAGGATTACGGTTGAGAACAATGAGAGGGAAGAACTACAGAAATTGGAAGTGCGTGTGTGTGTGTGTGTGTGTGTGTGTGTGTGTGTGTGTAGGGGTCTCCCTGAAACCTCCATTCCAGGAAAACAGGCATGGAACTGAGATCTCAGGTTGGGGGGGGCGGTAGGAGCAGGGTGATGATTTCTTCCCTTTTGAAGGTGGAGGATATAGAGATGCCGCCTGCTCCCGACCTTTGGGCAGGATGGAACCTGGAGTGTGTCTTGGGTCAACCAGACCTGGGGGTGGGTGTGGTCCAAGCCAGGAGGTGAGGCTGGTGATGTCCACACTCCACTATTAATTGTTCTTTTTGGGTCCAGATGTTCATCTGTAAAATGAAGAGATTAGAGGCCATTTGTCTCCTTTCAGCTCTAAGGTTCCATGATTCTCATGCTTCTAATCCGTTTTGGACTTAAATTTCTTTTATTTAAATGTTCTTTTGTTAAAATTTTAATCAGTGGTTTACAGCATGCTGGACCTTGTGCTAGGTGTTGGGGAGAGAGAAACATTCCTTGTGTTAAGATGTTTACCGTCTTCCTGTGGAGACAAATGGTTTTTATACCATGTAAATGGTACTGGGTTGTGTGGGTGCACAGGTTAAACAGAGAAGGGCTCCTAATTGAGCCTAGTGTATCCACAAAGGCTTCTTGGTGAAAGCGATCCCTGATCTGGGTTGGGCAGAGCAGAGTTGGGCGAGGGTATTCCAAGACTGGTCACAGGCATCCAAAGGCACAGCAAGATCAAGGAGCCACATGTTGGGACAATTGGTTAAGTTGGTGGTGCAGTGAGAGGTGAGCAGGGGCCAGGTTTTATATGGTCTTGCCAAGAAATTTTTAGCAGAACCTGAAAGCGCTGGGGACCCACTGAGGTATTTTAAGCAAAGTAATAACACCTCTAAATTGTAATTTTAGGAAAATTGCTTTGAGTCTGGGAGGTGGACAAAGTGAAGAAGCAAGATGAGCTATAATACTGGTGCAGTCTCCAGGTGAGCAGTGCTGAGGCCTGAACTAAGGCAGCGGCAGTGGGAGATCTTGAACGTATTAAAACAAAACTGGTACAATTTAGTGACCTGTGGATTGTGAGGGCTGCGCTCTGTGGGAGTGAAAGGTGGTGGCAGTTTTGAGAGGCCTGGTGAGTCTCCCCTGGAGAGGCAAGGGATGCCCAGGGCAAAGGGCAGAGCTGGGTAGAGATAGTCTGGTACTTGCACCTGCCACCCTGGTAAAGGCTATGCTGAGGAATCCAAGGTTTCCTAGGGTGTGGGTGGCCTGCAGGGCAGAGTGTGGGCAGGTTGTACAGGGGACCTTTCACAGTGTCCCCCCTTGAGATATAAATATATATATATATATATATATTCTGTGCACAGGACCAAGCATTATTTGCATTTGCAGATGGGGGAACTGAGTCCCAGAGAAAGAAGGTGGCTGGCCCAGTGTTACATGGCTAACCAGTAGCAAACCAAATCCCAAGATCACAGGCCTCCAAGGCCTGGGCTTTTTTTGCTATGACATGGTCTTTCTGTGGGATGATGGCCTGCCCCTCTCTCTTGCTTGCCACCTCTGACCCCTTTTCTGGGTCTGAGGACCACAGTGTTTGGGAGGCTGAGGTCTGAAGATGCTAGAGTAGGAGAGGGGAGAAGGGATGGGGCTTGGAAGAAGGTAACAATGAGGGGTGCACAGGGACACTCGGTCCAGTGGTGAGTGAGATCTAAGGAAGTTGGAGAGGAGGAAGGAGCAGGGTGGGGGTGGGTAGGAGATGTGGTGGGGGCCCTGGAGGGGTTCGGGAGTTGTGGAAGGATGCTGCACATGCCTTATGCTGGGGTGTAGGATGGAGGCAGACCTCTAGGTGGGTGGAGGTGGTGCTCACCTGGTCTGGGCTGGGTCCTCAGCCTACTTTGTCTGCGGGCATGGGGCCATAAAGGAAGGAAGCAGCATTTGCCCTGCCTTTCTGATGACATTGTAAAGTCACACATTGCTGATTGGTTTGCGTGTCCTCCTTGGTCAGAAATGCTGGAGGAGAAGGTATGAGGTCGGGTGGGTCCAGGGTCTGGGAGCTGATGCCTGGAGAGGGAGCTGATTATTTGGAAGCCCACCTGAGCACAAGCCCGAGGATCAGGCCTCGTGCAGGAGTGGCCTTTGTAGGACTGGCTGTGGGAGAGGGCCTGGTGGCTGTGGAATCAGTCTTGGGAGACAGAGGCTACACTTGCTCCCTGCCGCAAGCAAAGTCAGGGTGTGAGCTGAGCCAGCAGAAGTGCCCAAGGCTCTCTAGTCCAGCCCGCTGCCTGGCACTCAGGCCCCCAACCCCCGCCCTGCTTTCCTTAACACTGCCACACAGCGCCCTCCACCCCCAGCCTGGTTGGGCACCTCGTCTCCCTACCTAGCCTACCTCTCCAGGGACATGCAGTACCTGGAGCTGCTTGGTGGGGCACAGTTCTGCAGGTGGCCTTAACCATGAGAGCTGTCCATGCCCTTTTCCTCTGTGAGGCCAGCTCCCACTGCTGAGCAGAATTTGGGGTTCCTGTGTGGGCACCAGGGGCCTCTGGAGATTCTGAAGTAGCTGGTAGAGTGATGGTTTAGGAGTGAGCCGGCAGTGGGGCATCTGGAGACAGGGCACAGAACATTCCCATGTGGATCATTCTCAGGCCACGATAAGGGGAGAGGAAAGATGGTACCAGTTTATAGGCTTCAGAAAGCCTACTGTTCCTCCCCTGATACTCACAGCCAAATCCCAGAGCAAGTGTTTTCAGTCACCTTCACCACTGGCAACCTAGACGTGGAGGAAAGTGATTTACCAAGGGCCAGTGGGCTAGAACCAGGGCCCCTGATTCCCAGTCCAGGTGTGTGTGGGCCTGAGGAAAGGGCCGCACTGGGGAGTGGACTTTGGAGAGCCAGCCCCTCAGGGGCTCACATTCCCAGGGGGAGGGGAGTGGCCTGCTGCCACCTCCGGGAGAGACCCCCTGCAGGCCTGGCCTGGGGTCTTGGGCTGCACTGGCCTGCTGGGCAGAGACTCGTCCTCTTGGTCTGCCCCAGCCACAGGTCTTCTTCCTGGACCACGTTGCCTCTAAGAGAAGGTGCGGAGGTACCACACTTTGAGTTCCTAATACCTCTTGGAAGACAGACTAGATCAAGTCAGGCTGATTTGATTTGGCTTCAGGGGCCTCAGTTGTGTCCTGTAGGGGTTTTATGAATGAGGCCAAGTCCCACGACTGTACTCGCCCTGATTTATGGCCTTTGCCACCCCCCCAATCTGAGTTTCCCTGTGTCAAGGTGGCCCCCCTGTTTACCTCTAAGTCTCCTTAGGTGGACGTTGAGTCTGCAGTTGGTGAGAGGCTTCCCCACGGTGTGGGACACAGATGACCCAGAGGGAAGAGGTGGCACCAAGGCAGGGGCACCGCTCGCTCCATCAGGGCCTCAAGAGGGGCCTTCTGTCTGCTTTGCAGTGCCCTTTTCTCTGCACCACCAGCAGGTTTCACTTTCTATAAGAACCCACAGCAGGAGTGTGCAGCAGACCCCTGTTGGGGAAATAGAATTAAAAGCAAAATCTCCTGCCAACTCAGAAAAGCACCCCACAAAAATAGAGAAAACACGTTTTTGATGGAGTAAGCTTTAAACCGGAACGGGGTACACGTCACAGGCAGGGAGCTAACAGACTGCAGACAGAAAGAACCCGTTACACGGCCCCGTAGACACGACCCCACTACAAACATGTTCTCCAGGTAAAGCGTAACCAGTCCTCAGGAAAGAGGATGGACGGCACTGTTTTTCACACAGGGTTCATCCTAAATTCACCTGGAATTGGGTGCCCCTCTGACGGTGAATTGCCTTTATGCAAAGGCAAATTTCTTGTATCTTGGTATGGCCCTGGCCTGGGAGTTAGAAGTCTCGGGATCTTGCCCAGCTCTGCTATCCAGCCACCTCTGTGACTTGGGGCATGTCAGTGGCCCTCTCTGGCCTCAGTTTCCTCTTCAGAAAATGGGAATGATACGCATTTTACCTGCCTGGCAGGTGTGTGCTTTAAGAAAAATCCTGCACATTTCAACTGAGGTCATAGAGAGAAAAGCTCTTGAAAAAGAGGGGCTGCCTTCTGTGAGTGGCATTCGTCCTTGTCCCATGGGCCAACTCTCTTTCCTTTGCTCCCATCTCACCCACAGACAGCCGGGCAGGGAGCTGCAGTGCTGATGCTGAGGGGCCTCCGGGGATGGAGAGTGGCCTGGCTGGCGGCAGCACAGGTAAGAGAGAAGACGGAAAGGTGGGAGCCACCTTGGCCTCCTCCCCAGCCCCGTCTCCCCTGTCCCTCTGTAGCTGAGTAGGAGTTCCTTGTGACCTTAGAAGTGCAGGGTGGGACCCGGACACTGAAGGTCACGTCAAAGGATGGAGCAAACACAGACTAGGGGGGTCTAAGGAGCAACAGAGCCAGGCAAGGGTGCGAACGCGCGCGCGTGCACACACACACACTCACACACACAGACACTCACACACTCTCACACACACACACACAGACACTCACACACATCCTATGCAGAAATTTGCTGCAGGAAAGTCAAGTGTTTGTCAGGTGCTCGGTCAGAGAGTTCATGATGTTCAAGGTCATCACACACTGAAAGCCGGCACTCTGGGTGGCAGGCATGGTTAGAACAAGCGCTGCTGGCTGTTGGTCAGGAGAGCGTCTCCAGTTCAGTTCACGAATGCTTCTGGGGTCACTCAGTTCACGGTCTGTGTCAGCTGATGTGCTTAGAGCCGTGGTGAGGAAACACAGCGTGAGTCCTGGTGTCTCCTGGACGGGCGGGCACTGCTGAGTGGCAAGTGTCCCATGGAAACCCCTCTCCAGCATCCCCACTTCTGGGATGGTGCGGCCCTGGCGACTGAGACCCTCTTTCACAGCCTCACAGCGTGTGGCCAGGCTGCAGGCGGCTCTGGCTCCAGGAGAGGGGACGGGCCTGGCCCTAGGAACCCCACCCCTCGGCACAGTGACTCAGGTGTCATTCCCTCCCATTCCCTCCAGGGGAGTTTTCCCATAGATCCGAGGGCCCCTGCCCTCCAGCACCCACGAGGTGTGTGTGTGTGTGTGAGAGATGCTGACGTTACAGTAATTACAGGAAAACTAGGGCAGACGGTTCCCAGTGTTTTAACAGAAGGACCCTTTGCCCACGTCAACTCACAAGTGAGATCCTAATTCAGATGTGTGGGATGAGCTCCATCAGGCTCTCTCTCCCCCATTCGGCAGCTTTGGAAAGAAGTGGAAAAACACTGGCCTGGACCCTGGAGGCTTTGGGGACTGGAAACCCTGGAGGACACGGGCTCCCTTGGGCTGCAGCCACATTCTCGCCAGCTCTGGGCCCCCAGACTCCCATGCCTGCTGGCCAGGTTTAAGGAATGATTCTTTTGGATGGCCAAAGTTTTCAGATAATTGAGGGCTTACCTCTTTTACCTGTTACTATTGTATTTATTTTATGTGTTTTTTTTAACGTGGTAAAATGTACACCACATGAATTTACCATTTTAACCATTTTTAAGTGTACAATTCAGTGGCATTAGGCACAATCCCACAATCCCACTATCCATTTCCTGAATTTTCCCATACTCTCAGAAACTGTACCCATTAAGCAACAGCTCTCCAATTAGCACCTTTTAATTTTATCAGAACTATTTAGAATCTTTTAAAAATTTTATTTAATTTATCTTTATTTTTTGGAGGGGGTAGAAATTAGGTTTATTTATTTACTTATTATTTTCAGTGGAGGTCCCAGGGATTGAACCCAGGACCTCGGGCATGCTAAACACACACTCTCCCGGTGAGCTGTACCCTCCCCTCCCCATTTAGAATTTTTTTTTGAATGATGCTTTTTATGCTGACTGAGGAGCAGTCCCTGTGGAACAGGCAGGCAGAGGCCTGTTTTCCTCTGTGCCAATGCCTGATCCCTACAGAAAAGCGCCCGGGATGACTGAAGTCCCAGCACACGCACATCACAGGTCTGCACATGCCATCCCTGGGCTTCAGGGCCCTCTCACACCGCACAGCACTTACACCCAACCGGACTCTGGAGCAGCGGATGGGAGTGTCCTCTGGGCTGTCAGGCCTGGCCAGCTATCTGGCTGGGGAGGGAGGATGAGCCTTTCCAGCCATCAGCCACCATGATAGATGTCAAGACCAGGTTTAATCAAGGAAAAGCAGCGGCTTTTGTGGGGCTCTGGGGCATTAATGGGTGCCTTGTCATATGGGGACAGTGGTCCCCCTCGACTTGAGTGTATTTTGGATTCACCACCCTGACCACCAATTTGGACACCCAGCCCTGTTAAATACTTCCACTGGCCAATATTTCAGTGGGACACGTTCTTATAATCAGTGAAACTCGTTTCACTCAGGTATCCAATTACTACCAGCATCCAGTTTAAGTCACCACTCTCATTTTCAAATTATTGTTCCAGATAAAATGATTTCCCACAACCAAGCACCTGAGGAGCCCTCACAGTGTTGTTTCCCAGGAAGAAAACTGGCCCCTTACAAGTGCTTTCTGTGACAACCCTGCCCTCCCACCCCCACCTCCCATGGTCATCACATCAGTTTCTGTGCCCTGATGGTGGCCAGTGAGGCTGTGGAGTGGACCAGAGCTCTCTGGCCCCAGAATTAAAGGCCACAGCCAGATTACAGGGGAAGTTTTCTCTTTATTTCCTAAGATATTTTCAAGATTTAAAAATTATGATATTCGAATATTCTCATAAAATTTCAAACAACACATATAAAGTGAAAGTCCCCTTTGACCTCTCTGTCTAGGCCTGCCCTTGTCCATATCAGCTGCAGGGTGACCACCGTCTTGGGTTGATGTGAACTGTCCTGCATTGAGCATATGTACGTACATAGAGAAGGATGGTTTTATTTTTTTGTAAATTGGATCAGATGACTGATACTATTTTTCAACTTTTTTTTTGTTTTCTCTTAAAATATTTTGGAAATCCTTTCACATTAGCATATATAGCTCTTTTCTATTGCTACATGTTATGAAGGGAGTAAAATTTTTATTAGGCTATTGATGGGTAATTAGGTCACTTCCCCCTTTTGTGATGGTTACAAATAACACTTCAGTGAATATACTTGGATGTTCCTGTTTGTACTCATATGTAAGTATTTCTTAGGATAAACACCTCGAGGGAAGTTACCGGATGGAAGAAGTAGAAGATTGTACACATTTATGATTTTAGTAAGCACTGTCCAGTTGTCCTCAAAGAGTCTGAATTCGTTTGTGCCCCCAGCATACCCATGTTATCTATACCCTTCTGTGTAGTTTCCATGCATATTGTGAAGCAGAGATTATCAGTCTTTTCAGTATTTGCTGGTGTGATGGGTGAAAAGATGCTACACTGTCCTTTTTCACTTTGCTGATCACTGGTGAGGTTGAACCTCTTTTCGTCTTATCTGCAAGCGTCCTTTATATACTCTGGGTATTAATCCTTGCTCAGTTATATATCTGCACAAATATCGTCCTAGACGTGTTTGTCCAGTATGTGGCCAGTAACCACATACGATTAAATTTAAATTTAGATTTCAATTAATTTAAATAAAAGAAAATAAATTCAGTTCCTCAACTGTACTAGCCACATTTCAGGTGCTCGGTAACCACGTGTGGCTGGAGGCCACATGTATCAGACAGCTCAGATGTAAGACATTTTCACTTCTGGGGAAAGGTCTGTTGGAAAATGCTGGTCCAAACTATCATTTCTGTTTTACTTACATGTGGTGTTTTGTATTTAATTTTTATGTTTTGTATCCTGTTTAAGAAGATTTTCAGTTACCTCTAGGTTCTAAACAAATCTCCTAATTCTTCTAAACTTGTGTTTTCTTCTTTCAAACCAGCGCTTACATCCATCTGGAACTGATTTCTATAAATAGAATGAACTAGAAATCTAACTTAAATATTCTTCCCAAATAGATAGCTGGGCCTAAATTGATGAATAGGCCAGTCTTTTACAGTTGCCTTGGAATGCCAGTTGTTCCATTGATCTGCTCATTGTGTGTATTCCACACTTGCAACTGTTGTTTTAGGTGTTTTTTTTTTTTTTTTTTTGGTGGGAGGGAGTCTGACTCACAGCCTCACCTGGCTCACCATGGGGCAGCCACATCTATAACGAGTGCATCAGTCAAGACTTTTTTCAGTGGACTTTTGTAGAGCAGTCTTAGACTGACAGGAAAAATGTGCAGGAAGTATAGAGGGCCCTGTTCCCCCTCTCTCCGGTTTCTCCTATCGTTAACATTTTGCATTAGGGTAGTACATTTATTACAATTGATGAATCTTTATTAAATAAAGTCCATAGTTTACATTAGGGTTTATGCTTTGTGGTGTACATTCTGTGGACAAATGCTTAATGTCCTGTGCCCACCATTACTGCATCATACAGAGCAGTTTCACTGTCCTAAAAATCCTCTGTGCTCTGCCTGTTCATGCCTTCCCCCCCTGGAACCACCTGTCTTTTTCTGTCTCCATAGTTTTGCCTTTTCCAGAATGTCATGTAGTTGGAATCACACAGTAGGTAGCCTTTTCAGATTGGCTTCTTTCACTCAGTAATATGCACTTACATTTCCTCCATGTCTTTTTATGGCTTGATAGCTCATTTCTTTTTCTTGCTGAGTAACACTCCACTGCATGGTGTACCACTGTTTATCCATTCACCAACTGAAGGACATCTCTTGGATGCTTCCAAGTTTCAACTATTATGAATAAAGCTGCTGTAGACATCTATGTGTTTGCATGGACATAAGCTTTCAACTCCTTTGGGTAGATACATAGGGGTGTGGTTTGCTGGCTCATATGGGAGGAGTATATTTAGTTTTGTAAGGAACTGACAGACTGTCTTGCAGAATGGCTGTACTGTTTTGCATTCCCACCGACCATGAATGAGAGTTCCTGTTGCTCCACGTCCCTGGCAGCATTTGGTGTTGTCAGTGTTTGGATTTTAGCCGTTCTAATAGGTGTGTGGTGATAGTACTTTAGTTTTTAATGTTGTATAAGCAAATTCTTCTTTGCTCATTTTTAGAATTTCTGGGTGATTTATACACATTGTAGATTTTATAATTTACTTAATTAGGCTTACACTGAATTTAAACATTGTTTTGGAGTGAAGACTGCAAACAGGTAGGAATATAATGTACCTGTTCTTTTATTTACATCTTCTTTATCCCTTCAATAAAGTTTAATAGTTTTCTTTATATATATTGCATGTATACTAGGTAATACTTCCAGTTATTTTATAGCATTTATTGCCATTTTTAAAAATTGATGAATTTTAGTGGTTTTTTAATCTGGCAATTTTGCTGAAACTTCTATTTCTAATATTTTGTCAGTGGATTCTCTTGCACGCTCTAGATTAATAATTATCAGCAAATGACAGTTTTCTTTTCCTTTCTAATATTTATGTATACATATGTCTTTCTTTTTCCCCCTTGATCCTAACTTGAATAGGCTTCTAATCTTCTGCTTTCGGTTATAGCGTTTGCTGCCATTTCTAGTATAGTCCCATTGTCAACCTAAGAAAATTTCCTTATGTTCCTAGTTTGCTAAGGGCTTCCTTCCTTCCTTTTCCTTTCCCCTTCCTTTTCTCCCCCCTCCTTTCCCTAGTCTTCTCTCCCTCCCAAAATGATGCTTAATTTTATCATAGGACTTTTTCACAGCTATCGAGATGGTATAAGGTTTTTCACATTTCTAAAGTTAATGCCATGAAATGTGTTGTGCCGTCTTGGCTTTCGTAGGGAAGATCCAGCCAAGCTATGAGATGTTCTTTTGACACCCCCGAACTTGCTCTGCCAGGATTTTTGCTTGTTTGTCTTTTGCATATACTTTCAAAGAATGATAAACATGTAATTTCCTGCCTACCACACCTTCGTCTTGTTTTGATACTGGGTCATGTTAACTTGTAGGATCTCCCCCCAGTCCTGTCCCTGCCCTAATCATGGTCATAGTTTATGTAAGCTGGGAACAGTCCTTCCCGTGATGTTGTAGTAGAACCTGTTTATACAGTCGAGTGGCCTGCTACCTGTTTCGAGGTAGAACTTTAGCTGTCTTTTCAGTCTTTCCTAATTGCTTATATAGATATGATTTCTACCTACTCTTGAGTCGGTTTTGTTAATTTCTCACAAAATCATTCATTTTATACTTTCTTTCTTTCTTTCTGGGGATGGACCCCAGCAAGCATGAGCTTTACCACTGAGCTATACTCACCCCCCTAAATCGTTCATTTCACATAGGTTTTTTCAAACTGAGAACATCTCTACGGAGTATTTGGGGATTTATCAGAATCCTTTTTATATCTTTATGTTCCATTTATCCTATAATCTCTGCTTTTGTCTTTAGATGAATTCCTTCCTCTTACTTACTGTTGTCTTGGTAATATTGGCATCTATCCTTTAGAGTTTCTCTCTTTTTTGTTCACAGCCGTTTCATTTATTATTTATTGAATGTAAACTTTTCATTGAAGTGCAACACACGGAAAAGTGCTAGGTCGCAAGCTCTATAAATTCTCATAAAATTAACACGCCCATGTAACCAGCACCCAGATCAAGAAGGATATCGTTGCCAGAGCCCCAGAAGTGCCCCCTAGCCCCTTCCCATCACCGTGCCCTCTATCGGGGGCCGGTATCCTGAGCTCTCACTCATCCATTAGTTGCCAGCTTCTGACCTGTGTATAAATGGAATCAGTCAGCCTGTATTTAGTGTCTAGCAGGCCTTTTCCATCATGGCTTATGTCCATGAGCCTGGGAAGCAAAGCACCCCGCAGACATGAGCCGAGTGTAAGGAGTGGGTTAGCAGCAGAGTGTGCTGCCGGTGTGTACTCGGTTAAGTCCAAGAACAAGATAACACCTGTTCTGGGTGCTGAGACCTTTCTGGCCTACTTTCCTGTTTTTGGTTTTGTTGAAGAAAGGCGAGGTTGCTAGGCAGGTGAGATGCTCACGCATCCAGGGCTCCTGCCCTGGAGTGGGCCTGCAGTGAGGCTGGGCTTGGTCACCAACCCCCTGAGGGACGGGGCATGCACTCGCTGAGCAAGTGCCCAGCACAGCCATCCTCTTAGGAACAGAATGAGATGTTTTGAAACTCGGTCACTTTCTGCTTGCTCCCTGGGTGGGAAGACTTCACTAAATTGGTATCTTTACTCTTCTTGGCCTCTCCTGGGCCTCATGGTAGAGAAGGCAGGCATTGATGTCCTTGGCACAGCAACATTCACTTTTCTTTCTTGTGTTTTTTCTTTGCCGGCTTGCACACCCCAGCCTGCCCTTGCCTTAGTGTCCTTTATGCCCTCCCTCCTTTCTCCTTTCCTCATATTTCCTCTTCTCCCTTTAACATCTTCCTTCTGCATTCCTTTCTCTGTGCTCTGCTGTCCTGACACTTCTTCCCTCTCTCCTGCCCGTTCCCCCCACCTCACCGAGCAGTGAATGACTCTCCCCGTCTTCTCTCCCCTTGCCTCTGGCAGGAGATGAGCTGGTGATGAAGATCAAGCAAGAGAAGCCAGAGTGGCTGCTGCGGACTCTGGCGCCGCTGGCCGCGCTTTCCCAGAAGGATAAGGAGAACATCTTCCAGCAGCATCGGGGCCCCTTGCCATGCCAGACCGCGGGGAAGCCACGAGCCCTGGGGGGACAGGAGGAGACTGGGGGTTCAAGGTGGGCCCCTTCCACTGAGCAGGACAGCGGTCTGGCTGGCCGAGCTCCGGGGGCGGCCTCTGGCCCCCTAAGCCCCACTCTTTCTGCGGCCGAGGGTCACTTCGTGTGCCTGGACTGTGGGAAGCGGTTCAGCTGGTGGTCGTCGCTGAAGATCCACCAGCGCACACACACCGGCGAGAAGCCGTACCTGTGCGGCAAGTGCGGCAAGAGCTTCAGCCAGAAGCCCAACCTGGCGCGCCACCAGCGGCACCACACGGGCGAGCGGCCCTTCTGCTGCCCCGAGTGCGCCAGGAGCTTCAGCCAGAAGCAGCACCTGCTCAAGCACCAGAAGACCCACGCTCGGCCCGCCGCCCACCCGTGTCCCGAGTGCGAGCGCTGCTTCCGCCACCAGG